AAATAAACATGAACAGCATTAGCTGGGTACCTGTCACTGGCCCTCTGTGGTTGGGGAAGGAATGAAGAAGGGGCATAGAACTCATTCTGGTTTTAGTAGTTGTGCTTATAGTGACCCTACTCCATATTCCATTACATTATTTTAGGGGAAAAGCTTTCTATAATAGTAAAATTTACATTCCATCTTTTGCCTAAAACTGTCTTTAGCCTCATTTTTTCTTTTCAGAGCTCGGTGCAGCTCTCCCGCCCCCCACCCACTCTTCTCACGGATATTACAGTTGGCCTTGGAAATGGCAGGGCTGCCCTTTTGATCTGCAGGTTGGTTTGATAGGTTGTGTCTGCAAATTTGAGAGCAGCCTGTTGTTTTTTTCAGCACCTGAACAATAATGCAGCCACATCACGGCCCTTGTAGTCACATCATTGACCTCCTCTGGCAGTTTATCCTCCTACAACACTTGAATGCACCCATACTGTCTGCAGCGCTTTAATTTAATTAGACCAGTGGTGATAATCCTCTTGGGAACATTGTTATCCCCTCTGTAATCATAAAGTGAAACACCTTTGGTTTTCACTGGGCTGGCAGTTTGTTCTAGAGGTGAATGAGCTATAAGCCAGTACTTCGATTTGTTGGGGTCTGACCAGAGAAGCCATTGTGAGAATAAGGAGGTTTCCTTTGTTTGGGAAATGGGATGTTAGTCTCCTTAAGCTTCTCTTTGTAGATGTTTCCATCTGAGGTAGCCCGATTTGTTTTATTTTTTTTTTCTAATTGATGACAGTATGCTGAATGCTAAGTGCATGGGCTATCGTAATAGACTGAAAAATCAGGACCACGTGGGTCACCCTAGAGATTAACAAAAATAAAGTCAAAGGATTCCAGCTGTATGTGTTGTTCTTTTCGGAAAGGAGCCGGGCACTGGGCTGCATCCTTTGTGGGGTCCCCTGTCTTCTGCTGGCCACTGAGCCCAGGGCCACAGTCGTGTGTGATGACTGTTCGCAAATCACTGGAGGCCCTAGAGGTGCCTTTTGCTTTCTCCTGACTGGTCTCTTCATTGAACCTTTTTAAAAAGAGCTTCCTGGGTCCCAAGTTTATGGCGTCAAAATATTGCTGAGTGGAAGCCTTCATCTGGAACAAGAGGAATTCAGGGTCCACCATCACTCAGTCTCTGGCCTTCTTCTTATAGGTCTTATCATAAAATAGCACAGATGCCCACCCAGTGTGGCTCAGTGGTTGAGTGTCGACCCATGAACCAGGAGTTCTGCATTTGATTCCCAGTCAAGGCACCTGCCTGGGTTGCGAGCTCGATCCTCAGGAAGGGGCATGTAGGAGGCAGCCGATCGATGATTCTCTCTCATCATTGATGCTTCTATCTCTCTCTCCCTCTCCCTTCCTCTTCCTGAGATCAATAAAAAACATACTAAAAAAAAAATAGCACAGTTGGTTTTAATTGTGTGGACACGTCGGAGAAGGTGGTGTAAAAGGCCAGGGCAAGCACTGAAGTGTGGCCTTCGGTGTAGCAGTAGAGACGGGGCCACGCGGAAGTCCAGACCCAGGGCTGTTACAGAGAAAGCGCAGTGCGATGAAGGCACAGCACACTGACCATTCAGCAAGTCAGAGCGTACACCTTTTAAAGGTGGCACCCAGCTCAACTCTTTTGTAAGTAGCCAGAGCTAGACTGTCCACAAAATAAAGTAAAATCCTTGTGGAGGACTGGGCTTCGCCCAGCTTGTCCTTGGTAGAGGTGGTGAGGGATAAGGAAGCTGGGACGAGGTTGCCTGTCACTTGTAGGAACTAAGTTACTGGATCTCGGAAGTTTCTCGTGCTTTGAAGGAAAGTCGTCGCATTCTGAAATGCCGTCTTCTTTTTTCTCCCACTCACGCCAACCCATTTTAAAATTCTTTGGCTGCACCAAGTTTTCTTCATCAACAGTTTCACTTCTGCAAAAAACCCTAAAAAAACAGAAAGCTATTTCTGGGAATGAAGTTAACGGTAGATAAGATCTCCAGATATATACTGGGACTGGGGAGGGGAGGGGTTACTTGAGGGTTGAAGTGTATGGAGCATTTGTTACAGACTGTTTACAATGCTTTAAAAGCCTGTTTTACCTTGAAAACCCCCTGAACAGATTTTGTATGTTTCCCATGTGAGTTCATGTCTTTCCTCTTTCACCTCACCCCAAAAACCCCAAACACGAAAAATATAACTCATCCACTTAGAGTTGCTCAAATTATGTGTGATGTTTGATCAAGTTCAAGAAAAGTGAAGTTGAAGGTTTCGCCTCTGGGTGACCTTTCAGAGAACATCTTGATTGATACAGAAATGAAATTTGGCATGTCTGTGCCTGCCCTTCGCAAATTCACCAGGAAACTTTAGGATGTATGCTTAAACAGAAATATTCCAAATGCCCTATTTGCTGGTGGAGGATATCTCAGGGAAGGTGTCGCGATTCCCTTCGGAAATTACAAAAATATGTACATAATCATTTAAAATTGAAACTTCCTACCACAACCACCAAACTTTCCAGGGTATGAACAGAAGAAAAACTTGACTTTGGTTATAGGTCCGGGGGACTCCCCTGCTTCCCTTTGCATATTTGATGAAATAGAAAATGTTAGAGAACTGTCTTTCCAAAACATAGACCCCTGTGCTTTATTTTAATCTGTGATTTTTCTTTCACTCCTGATTTCTGTTTTCACAATGGCATTTGACTGATCTTCCTCCCGCACCCCCCCCCCCC